ACACAAGTGCTGACAGCTGCTAATGCCATTACCTGATAGCACAGAGAGGATGTTTCTTTCCATTACATTCTTTCTAATAATTTTAATCAAAGACAGAGGTTGGAACTGTCAAAGTGGAAGCACCGTGGGAGAGGTTATGAGTCAGATGTTATGCTTGAAGGGGATGTATTCAAACAGCCATATGGACAAAGCATTTGTACTTCTGTGAATTGCTCAGAATATTACAAAAAAGAAAGGACAGGCAGGTTAATGTTTTTCTATGTTTTCAAGTAAAAAACGAAAATAGATTCTTTGTTGAAAAAACTTAAGGGGAAGATATGTGACGTACAACAAAACAGGTAGAGTGGCAAAGTCCAGTTAAGGCACTCTGACAAATAGGGAGTGGCTGCCAGAGCACTGGACCTTGCAGATCAAGTTATGACACTCACCACTAAATTGATTATTAATTCCAGTGTTAATAATGACTTGTTCTATAGTTATGTAATGGCATTCTCAGAAATACTGTCTGGCATTTAGTTGGTGTTTAATTAAGCCTTAAAATAAATGTCCTTCTTAGCCAAAATGTCATTTTAACGTCTTGACTCTAGTAGATACAAAAGTAACAGAGAGACTAAATCGTTGTACATACACTTCAGCACACCCATAGCCATAAATGTAAAATGTTAAAGAGGATGAAATTGTTACCATTTCCAATAGCCTATAATTAAGTGTTGTAACTTGTGATATCCTTCCCTGTGAGCTAAAAGTACCTTCTCTTTTCTGATATCATTAGGTTAGCTGCACAAAGCAATCACTTAAAACCAATTTAAGGAATCCATGAGAGAATAACCCAGTGCATTCCAGGTGTTGGTCTACAAACAATTTTAATGTTTAGACAAGATTGGTTTTACGAGGCCCTTTCTCCTCTTTAAACTCCATGTTTAAACAAGCACATTTCTTAACAGAGCCTACAACAGCGTCATATAACACACCTATGCGTCACCATTTCAATAATTGCTGCTATAACTATTATTTCTGCAAATCTCTCAAGCCCCAGGGGGAAATGGGTCGACTCCCAGTTTCTTGTTATTCGTGGAAATCCAGTCAGGCTACAGTGGAAGGAAGGAAAGACAAGCCACTAAAACAAACGCCCCAGCATGTGTTTTCAGGCTTGTATAAACGTACAGAGTGAGCGTTTCCATGTATAATTTGGTGTAAAGGCAAAGAGTCGAGTACATACCATAGCATTCCTCGCTGTGTCCAGCCCTGGTCCACTCCTTCGCCTTCTCTCCGCGTCCCCAGTGAAAACACTTCAAAAACACGCAAAAAGCACTCCCCGCAAAGCCTCACATCGATTAGTTTTCTCTCTAAACCGCCTATCTGTCCATTACTTCCCACATTAAGTGCTCTTGCATCTAAAGTTTGAGTTAGCCATCTGCATATCCCTTGCGCTCCTTGTTTGAAAAGGAAAAACAAGTAAATTCTCGCAGGAAAACGCACAATGCTGTTCGAACTCTGCTCTGCTCGACACGGCTGGAATCGTCTTATGAAAAAGAAAGAGGGAGGCGTTGCAAAGCGCTGTTTCAGTATGTTTTCCCTTCTTGCTTCACCACCACGTTGTTTTGACCAATTATTATTTCCTTTGTTGTGTTAAAAATCTAACAGTCCTTAGGCTACGATACGAAGCGCCCTGCTCTGTCGCCAAAAACACAAACGCTTTCACTGGTCTCCTCCTGTGCCAAATGTTTTCCTTCCTAACATTAAGCCCCGTACAGGCTCAAAGTGTGACGGTATGGAGAGAGCTGTTTTTTCAGCCCAATAATGGCGGACCTTCTCCCGAATCCAGCATCTCCCTCCTATTCACTCTCACACGCCGACAGTCTCGCCCAGCGGTTCATGGACACAATTACAACGCACACGCTGTTCATCAGTGTGGCTGCTGAAAGCTGCTAGGAGCGCGTGGGAGGGTGACTATTTGACATAATTCAGGCTTTGTATAAAATTTCATACATTTCTTTCTCCCAAGTTTAACCTTCATCTTACCTTTAATAGCTTAGATACTCTTCACACTTTATTGTGATTGGTTATATCCACCTGTCACTCTATGAACATGACAGAGGCTAACCAATAGGAGGAAAGGGTGAAAACCGCTGACTAAATCAGTCCTTATCGTTGAAAAGATAAATAACATGAACAACAAATACTGAAGGATATTTCAGGAGATCTCTAATAAATGGGCCAAATTAAGTCATCAGCTTTCAAAGGAAATTTAGAATAGACCATTTATTTCAAATTTAAATGTTCTTTTTAGAACTTAGAAACACTTTACATGATGCCCTCACTTTTTATTTTATCATGTAAGATAATTATCCATTCAGAAAGCAGAATGAGCCTCACAAAAGTCTCTCATTTAATGTATTCTGTATTTATGGACTACTAACCCTAACCCTTTTTATTGTACAGCATTGATGTCAGCATGGGTGGACTTCCCACTCGTGTGGTAAAGAAGTGAATCTTGATTCTTGAATCATTTGGGTTGCCAGTACTTTCAACTGCAACCAACTGGAAAGATATCTAAAACAACACTTTTAGGTCCTCACTAAAACCCCAGCATCTACAGCCAGTCATTAACTGTGCTCGTGTAGCCTCTGCAGCTCAATAAGTAAATTCTGGAAATTCACATTAGGTTTTTCCCTTTACTGAGAATGAAAAAACTAAAAATAAAACAATTGCATTGCTTTGTACAAATGGACAATGCAGTGGTTGGTGCCACTGCTATCATTGTAATTATGTGACTTTATTTTTGTTGATTTACCCTCTTGGCCTCAGGTCTCCCACTCATTTGTGCTACTTTATGTATGCAGCTATTTGTCATGTAACCTTCAGATAATTATTGAGGAAAGACATCATGTATGTTATAGATTGTGGTGATTTCCATCACAGGACACAAGTGAAACTGTTCATACAGAGAAAATATGTCGGGTCAAGTTAATGATCCTTGTTGGACTGGAAATCAATATTTACAGGCAAGTAGTCTGGGAAAACAAAACACAGAATCTGTCAGAGTGTCTTTTTTATGTTTTTTCACCCACTCATTCCCCTTGAATGAAAATAAAGAAAGGAATTGGGTGGTCACTTTAGAAAACAATGATTCTGTAATAAACTATTTTGTGTGAGTATAGGCCAACGCCTATATTTTACAAAGCTGTCTAAAGCCTGGATAAGTCACATTTAAATATTACCCTTTATTAAACACGAGTGTAGTGAGTTTCAGGGACTGTGACCTATGAGAGCATGAGTCCACAGCTTCTGTCCAATGGCGTCAGCCCATATTCTGTGCAATATTTGTATGCCCCCAATTACACTGGGAAAGATTAGGAGAGGTCCAAGTGCCAGATCCTCTGTTTTGTGTCATACAGAATAAGTGTTGTTATTTCACATCTTTTCACTTATATGGACTGAATTTATAAGGTTAAAGTTTAGATTTAAGATTGGAAAGTAATTGTAAAGATTGGTTTATTTTGAATGGGGGGCTTAAATTTACAATGGCCAGGAGCAGTATCCATGAATAAATGTGTATTATTGCAATGAGGACTATTTATAGGACAGCCACAATTAATCAACTCAAACTATTTTTAAAATCATTACAGTCGTATTTTTGATAATTACACTAGTCCTACTTATCTGGACTATACAGAATCTGTATAACAAAGGCAGTCACATTATCAAATCAAAATGTCAAATAAGAATAACCAATTTCCAATTTTCAACAAGAATATACTTTATTTGTAAATATTCTCTATTCTCTCTATTTAGAAGCCTTCAGTCATCATTTTTCAACCTTTATTTGGTTGGTACTGTTTTTAAAAAGTCTATAAACACTTTAAACGCAAGAGACCCAGGTGCTTTCATCACATTCATTCAGTTCATTACTGAGCAAACCCTGACAGTCAGCTTTTCAACCCCCTGCAACTCCCCAATGGCCCGGATGGTCTGACCAGGCTGTTTCATGGGCTGTCCAAACCGTCCGCTCGAGTTTGTTAACTTTATGGAAAGTCCATACTGTAAACAGCCAAATGTGCACATTGCTAGCTAACACTTTTTGTTGCATCAAAAAAGTATATTTATTGTTAAATAACACACTGGCCAATAGTAGCCTAGACTATAAATGTATGTAGGCTAACATATTGCCAAAATTAATTACACATTTTGAGCAGCAAACTGGGACACAGAATAAGCTCTAAAACAATCTGCTTTTAACAAGAACACAACCAAGCAATCGTTCAGTTAGTTCTCTTTCAGCTGACAGGTTTGTGTCAACCTTTCATCACAGACAGAATAGCTCTAAGGCCTTTCACCTGTGAGTTCTTTCATGTGCATTCTGATTATTCTTATAGGATAATGTTTTCTTAGATTAGATAAGTTGCAAGGTATTTTCACTTTGTGAGGCTACATGTTGAACAGCTGAATGATGATGTGTATGTTTATGTTTATAGATTACCCTTTTGGATCAATGTTTTCTTTCAGGTTGAATAACTGAATATCTCCTGTGACCTCTACTTTGTTCTAATGACTCTTTTCCACTCAGAGCACTGTTGTTTCTTCTGCTTAGCTCCTTCGGCTGTTCCTGACATATCTCCAGCGTTTACCTCATCTCTGAAGCAGACTTGTATTTGGGGGATAGCTTTATGACTGTAGCTGTGGTTCTGGCTCTGATCTGGGTTTACAGTCTATGGATTGTAGCGATTTCCTTCCGCCTCTGTCTCCATCAGTGCAGCTATACAGCTGAATGTAGGTGTCCGGTCTTCATCATTGTCATTGTCAGAAGAGTACTCCGTGTCTCCCTCAGTCTCTGCGTGTAAATAAATGCAAAAACAGTCACCAGATAAGTATAATCATTTACTGTAGGCTATTGGGGACCAGAGCTCATGTGACTCCAGTGCGTGCGCATCTTACTGGGTTCTGGATATTGTAGTTCTTAATACCAGACGCTTGGCGTTAAGAGTTAATAACAAAACTACAACTCCCATCGAGCAAGAGGCAGCTGTCTAGGGCGGTATTTCCTGTTAGCTAGAAGAAGATAGCGGACGAACGATTGGATTTTTTATGTTGTTTAAAATCGCACATTTATCAAAATATAGCGTTTAACGAACCTGGGGCACCCTATAAGATAGAAAACATGGTATGTATGGCACAATTAATCCTTGCTATGTTTATTCACAGCTCACATCTACGTGTTAGCCTTAAAGCTCGCTAAATAACCTTTTCATTCAGTAGAATTTACGAGCTATTTATAACCTTGTTATACTAACATTTAAGCAAAAAATAAATAAATAGAAAATAGGTTTACCAATAGCAAGAATAAACCATAGGTTTATTTGGGTGTGGTGTGATAAACGCCGCGTTATGTCCAAAAGCTATATTTCATAATGCATTAAGTGAGCTACATATTGTACAACTGATTTAAACTGTGTTTTTGTGATTTATCACATAGATCCGTTTCATTTTGATTCAAAATCGAGCTGGCAAAACTAGGCTGGCCAAGTGGTACATGCAGTTTGATGATGATGAAAAACAGAAATTAATCGAGGAGGTCCATGCTGTGGTGACTGTGAGGGACGCCAAGCACACCAACTTTGTGGAGGTAAGTAAATAGCAAACATTATTTTGAAAAATGAATGTCAAATGTGCTATAGCCACACTGTGATATAGCCAACAGTACACAAGTATCATCATATTGCAAAGCACTTTGTATTACATTTTAAATGTATGATTGAGTCCATGTTTCATGCTCAAATAATTGTCCAAATTAAGGCTTCACATTTGTTTACATGTGTAAGGAAATCTCATCTGTTTTCCTACAGTTCAGAAACTTCAAGATTATTTACCGACGCTATGCTGGGCTCTATTTTTGCATTTGTGTGGATGTGACTGATAACAACTTGGCATACCTAGAAGGAATCCACAACTTTGTCGAGGTAAATAATATCACATGATGCAAAGACTTGAAGTGAACTGAAATGATTCAGTTGTCATGGTCTGATTGAGTGTTGGAATGTGCAATGCAATTTCCCTGAAGCTCATCTCCTGTTTTGATGCTCTTATGCTGTAAAATGCTTAAAAGTCATGAGATATGTAGTGGTCTGTACAAGAGTTTGTTTTGATAAAGCAAACAAATCCAGTCAACTTTGATGTAATCCACTGTGGACTGTAATTAAGTTTAAGTGTTATTATTCTAAGTTAAGCCATAAATCTCAACCTAAAATATGTTTGAACTTCTGGAACAATGGATTTTCAGTTCTTCTCCATAGACTCAGATTTATGTGATTGTGACGGTGGGTGAAATGAGTTTCAACATTAGTCAAAAGCAAAAATAATGAAACAATCTTAATACATTATTGTTGGCTTGACCTCAGTGTGTGTATGTCAAGAGACCAAGTTTTATCTGGAGTCCACTGGAGTGAAGTCATCTTATATTGATGGAAAAGTTAATTTAATTGCCTTAAAAAGGGCACGTCACAATATCACTTTTTAATGATTCAATTATTGTGAGAGCAAATTAGGGATGGGCGATATATTGGGCCCAGTATCGGTATTGGCCCTTTTTGAACACACTAATGAATTAAAATAAAAGAGCGTTATATGGCTTCATGTTTATGCAAACATGTAATAGTTTATTTTATATCCCATACAAATACATTTTGTTATTGTTTTTACAAAAGTAATACATGAATTTGTGATCACTACTTCAGCTTAAGATGAATTTGTGGACCTCACTATGGATTTTAAAAAATTAAATATTGGTATTGGCAAATCCCGGTTATCAGCCACAGCAGTATTCATATCAGTCCATCCTTAGACTAAATGTCGCTTTCTGTGATTCACGATTTAAAAAAAACATTAATAAAAAAATTTTGTTACTGTGACATAAATAATCAAAGCTCTTTTATTACATGCCACTCAGTGCACAGTATGCATGTATGTTATCTATACTGTTTACTGTGCTGTACTGTATAATGAAATATATAACAAATTATTAAAATGTTGCTTATTAAAATTACTTTTTTTTTTTCATTCAAGGTGCTAAATGAATACTTTCACAATGTGTGTGAATTGGATCTTGTCTTCAACTTTTACAAGGTATGTTGCAGTTGTTTCATTTGATATTTAAGCCAAGAGCATAAAGTATATTTATAATTATAAATGATGAAAAATCATATATAATCAGGAACTAATAATTATAGTGAGTTTTATGCATAGAGAAAAATGCTAAGCAACTAACTGCTCCAGTCTTCTATAACTGTATTGCTTTGCTTACTAATTACCAAAGGTGTCTGAAACACCCACAGGCTTGACTTGTCAGTCTGTGATTTACCAGTACAACAAGAAAATTACAATGAATAAGATCATGTTATAACACTCCCTTTACTCTATTTGTTAGTCAACCCTGTAATCAATCTATTGACAAGAAATTACTTTTAATTACAAGAATGCCCTGGTCAGTAACCACGTCTTGTACAGATGCAGTGTATTTCTGGAATAGACATGGTGATAGGGCTATTAATAATCTCAGTCCCCCCTCATGCTGTCTTCTCTGCTCTTACAGGTGTACACAGTGGTGGATGAGATGTTTCTAGCCGGAGAAATCAGGGAGACGAGCCAGACAAAAGTGCTCAAGCAGCTCCTCATGCTGCAGTCGCTTGAGTAGAGTTTAGTCCTCCTTCAGTTCGTGCCCAATCATCTGACCAACTCCTCCACTGGAAATGACTCTTTGTGACCCAAGCTGTCTGTATGCATTTACTTGTGAGATTTTTGTCATTGCCTTCTCTAAGTGGCAGTGTTTTGACAGTGCTGCTAGCTGAAGCTAACTGCTATGACAGCTGATCATTTCAACATTAATGTAATTAATATTTTGTTTAACTACAATTGCTTTTTTATTTTTGCGTAGATATTCTGACCCACTTGATGTATAGTACCGTAATTCACTACATTTTCAATCAGCCACCATAATTTTTTCAAAGACACGGGCTTACATTGGTTCCTATGCATTTTTAAAGCCTGGCTAAACACCTCTCCTTTAGTGAATATAGTGCATTTGTGATTCTGATTTCTCAGTTGTTGCTCCAGACATATTGTGATACTGTTAATAACAATAGAAGGCCAGGGTGCTTAAAAGATGGAGGGTGTATTGGTGAAAATATAAAGAAATATTTTACTCAATGCAGTGCTGTGAAATTTACTTTGAATAGTGTGTACATAGGTGTATCTTACATGTGCTAGTTAATAGCGATTTCATTCATTCCAGATTTATTATCCTGTATGTCTCAGATCAAATACAGGAGGCCCCACCTGCTTGACTTTTAAAACCTTTTTTTTTTTCCAACCTTTCAGGTGTCAAGGTTGTTCAGCGTTACACAATGTTTAATTTTTGTATTTTTGAGTTTAATTATCATAGTAGTATGTAATCTTTCTGCCAACTTGTGCAAGTTTGTAAAAGGAAGAATTGTGTGTCTCCATCACTCAATTCCAGTTATATGTAAATAACCAAGAAAAATAAAAAAAATAAAATGAAATTATAACCAACATCTCTGAACAAGGCATTTCCCTTTGTGTACTGGCGCCCTCTTGTGTTCAGTCTAAGTACATGAGGCCTTTAGGTTTTGCTTCATCGGCCTTTCAAGGTACAGTAAACGACAGTTTGACAGGGCATTTACTTTCATCATTCAAGAGCTCTTGATGATAAAGTTACAGAATCAAGAGGCCTGTAAATTTTAGGTGTTTTGTGGTGTAACTTTGAGCCTAAAAAATGTAGTGGCATACATGCAATATATAGAAATACATAAAGACCCCACATAACTGAAAAGCATACATTTACTGAAAATTGCATAATTACAATCAAAGAGCAACTGTCACCCATAACATACGATAGATGAACAACTCTTATTTACAGCTTTACTTGATGTACAGTAGTATTCAGATTTATTATACATAAACATTTGTTACTAAGCAACAACTGATTTGGAAGTTATTTTACAGCGGCTTTACACAGAACTGAAGTACAAATATATATTTAAATGATGGTATTTGCACGTAACGAGGCTCATGAAGATGCAAAGATATGTGTGCTACACCAGATGAATGTGAATGATTAGTGCCTCCTGCAGCTCAGGAAGTTAGCGTCCTTTTATCATGACATCCACGTCAGCGGCGAACTATTAACAAACCAGCTCACACATAGACCAAGTGCAGCCACTAACACAGTCAGGCTGAGTGACAGAAAAACACACAAATCAGCTGTTATTAAGTAAGAAATGGTCACTACACTTATACTCTTTATTAATATTATAGTTCAAGTAAAATAACAATTTACAATCCTAAACTTACAGTGTAAAAAATTAACACAATAAAAAATAATAAAAGTGCACTTGCCAAAGAGCGCCAGAATACCAGCAATATTGTGTGGAATCGCATCTCATTTGGATTTTAAGTCAGTAAATCCTGCCTTCAGTGGCTTAGACAATAGCAGTGCATTGGACTCAAGTGCCACGAGCCCTCAGTGTTTGGTTGAAAAGTTTCACAAGACTCACTGTTATAAAACAATCCAAGCCTTGATAAAGAAGCGGGGCAGAAGGAAAACTTCTCAAAATGGCACTGGGGTTAACCCAATTTGGTTTCCTGTTATGTATACCACGTTTGCATATAGCACTGAGATTTAGGAGGTCTCTGGGTAAAAGTTGGTTACAAAAGTGCAAACATTTTCAAAAACATTGGTAGTTCGCAGCAGGAAAACAATTACATTTTTGTGCTTATATTCACTCATACACTTTCCAAGGATCGCTGGGTTAATCATTTATCAACACTTTTTTTTTTCCCATGATTGTTTTAATAATGTGTGGAACGAGTGTTGTTAGTGAATTGTCCTTTTGATTAATGGCATGTCTCTCCAGTTGCAGTTTTTCATTTAGTTAATCCACATAGAAACTTTGTATGAACTGCACAAATGTACTAGCAACAAATGTCAAAAACTATTGCAGCTATTAAGACCAATCTTGAGAAATTATTATGTTTTACTCACTCAGAATTTTTCTCAACGTGCAGATGTGTACATCATATTAGGACACAGGTAGTTTACAGCTCAGATTTTAAAAAGGTGAAAAAAAGTTAAAGAAATCCAAATGAATTGCTTAACTGTTAATAACTTAATAGAAAACATGTGCAAAGCAGAAATAAGCATATATTTTAAAATGTCGGGGCGCTCTCCACACAGCCATGACACCCTGGAACATCTAAGTGGAGGGTGTCCGGGCTGCACTGATCAGTCCATATGATCCCAGTTGGAGTAGAAGGCCCTCAAACCCAGGCCTAAATCACCTCGAGCTGCAATGTGAGACACTAGAACCATCAATCACACATTAACTATAGTTTTACAGTTGACAAGAGGACACACTAACCTGTAGGGGGCGTCCTGTGTGCGTGGGCCTGGGGCTGAGTTGAGGTCTGCCTCCCTTCCCTAGCAACTACACTGTTGTTTATTGTGGGTGGCGGTGTTTCTCGGCTGTCGTAGTTGCCTCAGTGAAGCGTCTCCATACTGAATACCGGATCCCATCCTTTCTGGGTCTAATTCACCTGGAAAAATTAATAGGCAAGTCAAAACGAAACCCCACCTGAATTATTTAGCCAGCAAAAACAATAAGGGATGAAAATTACATGAGCCATACAACTAAGACATCAGTTGCTAAACAGAGACATCATGGCTCCTTAATGCAAAACACATGCAAAAATGTCCACAAGACTAAGTACTCTGAACACACCTCCTTAACAAACAAATAGGTGGTGTTACCTGAATCTATCTTGTTGAGAATGGTGCGGGCGCATTTTAAAAATCCCTCCTCCACATTTTCTCCAGTCAAAGCACTCGTCTCCAAGAACATCAGCTCTGTGAAGTGTTTAAGTGGCAGCAAAGTAAATATACAAAAAAAAACAACAACTACAACAACAACATCCCAGGTTTTGTTTAATATAATTGTAATTTTTGGGTTTTACCATTTTCCTGAGCAAAGCGAGAAGCCTCAAGGAAGGTCACTTCTCTGTCTGCATCCAGGTCTTTCTTGTTGCCACATAAGATAATGACGATGTTAGGGCTTGCCAGGGTCCGTGCATCTGTCAGCCAGTTGGTGAGAGCATTATACGTCTCACGGCTGAAACACAGTGGAGTCCAATCACAGCTTATGCAAGTCCCAGGAGGTGAAATCAAGGGTGTGGGTCCACACATAATGTTTAACAGCTGTGTTCAGTGGGGTGACATCACATCACAAAATCTGATGGGAAGCTGTGCTGTGGCGGTTAAATTTCTTATTTGCATAAGTTAATATGGGCTAATTTTCAACTCCCATCTGCATTAATCATACACACGTCTCCACTTTGAGTATAGCCAGTTCTGAACACAATCAAATCGAATAATGAAAAGGCTGCAATTATTTGCAAACAACTAAATCTCTTATTGCTATGGGGTCTTGTGCATAAAACTTGACAGCACTGTAGTCTGGGCCTCTTAACAGGATCGGATGCTAGAGATTTTTGTATTGATATTTCTAGCTTTTTTTTCTATGTTAATGTCTGAATAAAACAAAATTTCAGGGCATTTCAAATGTAACCCATGAGTTTAGAGAATGGGTAGAGATACAGAATAATGTGAAGTGTTATGGGAGAAAACCCCTTTAGCTTACAGTGCAGTAAGTACCTGGTAATGTCATAGACAAGCAGAGCACCAGCTGCTCCTCTGTAGTAGCTACGTGTCACAGACCTAAATCAGAGGTGTTCATGAGTACATGAAGACTTTCAAACAGAAGAACAATCATGGGAGTGACAATACCGGAAGCGCTCTTGCCCTGCAGTGTCCCATATTTGTAGTTTTACAGTCTTCCCTCCAACATTCACTACCCTGGAACCAAACTCTACTCCAATGGTATGGTTGGAGTCTTGCTTAACTGCAAAAAAAGAGAATTAAGAGTAAAATATTCAAAAACAAATTATGTAATTAATGTGTTTGGGATCAGCAACTAACATTTATTCTCGATGAACTGGTGGAGAAGGCAGGACTTCCCTGCTCCAGCACTGCCAATAACCAGGAACTTGAACAGGAAGTCTGAAAGACAATATAGAGATCAATACAACAGAGCTATTAGGAGAGAGTGCACTCCTCCTCCACAGAGACCAGGCAGGGCATCTCCTTTAATCCTATTGAGCAACCAGACTTAGACTTTTAATCACCAAACCTTATATTATCTAATAGGATAATGGGCTGCTTCTGACACAAATATTACCCAATTAAATCTTAAGACATAACATAACTGAGTAAGAGACTTTTCACTTTAACAGAAAGAGAAATTCTACTTTAGGAGACAAATAAATTAACTATTCAAGGATAAGCTACTTATTAATGTGGTACGGGACTTCACACTTTCAGATGTAGTATGCTGGGACTAAAACTCACAATGATTAAAGATTACTGTATGAACATAAAAACCATGCGAGACACTGTAAGAGTCTGTCTTAGCAATGCATCCCAATGTGCCACTAAATAGCATGAGCTTGTATCAATTAGAGAACATAAGAATCCATAGAATTCAGACTCAAATGTTAAACTTGTGTTTAAAACAGGTATTAATTTTATAAAATCAGGAGATTAACATCATTATATTTATTAATCTTTGGGATGGTACGAGGCATTAATCTCTTGAGTAGACACAAGAGACAATTATTGAATATAACTTTTGGAATTTTCTGAATAGTTTTCAGTAAATGCCTTGGGTGTACACCAAATTACTCATTTCAATATCATAATTGTGACAGTATACAGTAGAATTACATTTTTAAACAGGACAAAAATAATTTTATTGTAATTAACCATTTGATCATACCACTTCTAAAAAATGTCAAAAGTTCCATACTGGTTGTAGTATCAATCTTGTTCCATCATTAATTATTTTCGCTCACTGCCCAAAGAGGAAGATTGAGTACTGTTTACCACAGAGTCAGTTTTGGGGAAAATCAATAAGAGTCAATTACAAAACCATTATCAGTGGCACTTTATACACAGCCCACTGGAAATCATTTTCATAGAACACCACACGTTTGTGAGTAAAAACTTATGGCGTGTCATTTAAAAACTACTACTCTAGACAATAGACAGTATGTGCTCAGATCAGATGCTATGGACTTAAAACTACAATTTATGCAAAGCCTGTATGCAAAAACAGGCATGCTGATATGCAACGTTGCAATTCAGTATTCATTGTTCATTGTTCTTGGTATGGTAATGGTTTTTAAAAAGTATGGTTTTAACATAAGACAGCCTGCAAGTGCAATCTCGGCAGGTTTAATGGAGCACTATAACTTCCTGACTTCCTCCTACTCTACACAACCAGTCAACTCTCCACATCAGAAGACTTTACTTCAACATTAGTTGGAGCAGGAGGCCGCACAAAAATCGAGTGCCATGTGTGTCTCATTTTATTTTGACATACACTTTGGTATAGTCAGTAAATAAGTCTGTTTATCATAAGCTAGCGAGCAAGTAACAAGCTAGTGAACTGCGCTTAAGGAAACGGACTACTGCGCCATGGACATCAGGTAGTTAACACAGAACAATACATGTGCTTATTTATGGATCTGTAATAATGCTATTATAATAGCGTGTAAACACTGCCTCATAGTCATACGTGAGCCTGAGCCACACACCTAGGGAAGCTAACTAACACAGCTCCTTCGCTGCATGTCATCACTCTCCTCTCCCAGGCTGCTGTGTATCCATAACGTTAGCGGTTAGCAACCATCAACTGAACTTCCGCTATTCAAAACGTACCGTATGTTTCAGACATGTTGAAACTTGTTGAAAGGGAGAGACGTGCCTTCTGTGGCCTCCTGAAATGGCTGTGCTAGCCCAACACACACCTGTTTAGTGTGTTTATCTGAGGTGCGAGATGCTTCGTTGCTCCACAGACACGGTGCACGCAGAGCGTACGTCTGACGTCATCCTCCCTTCCTTTGGGCTAAACTGTCTGTGTCATGGATCTAATATAATAACTATCTATGTCTATGCTGCAAAGCGATCATTTTTATTTTACCACTGTGCTTCACCTCATGTATACTCGTGTACTCTTTACTTTATTTGTGAGGTTGATCTTTTCTTGGATTTGTGTGGATATGAGTTATCAGCAGTTTTCTGTCCTTATTTCATATTGGATTGGCTTCGGAATCTTCTAGGAATAAAAGCAATGAAACTTTGTTCTACTACTATTCTGCACAGCCAGGCCTGTATATTATATTAGACAGTGCAACAAATGGCCACACGATGGCGGCAAAGTTTAAAAAATAAATAAATAAAATTTAAAAAAAAAAAGTTCTGACAAAGGGACGTTAGTCACACAGTAAGGTTCTTTAAGTCTCAATATTAATCACTCAGTACACTGATACTGAATAACCTACTCGACATTTTTCTACTTGAGAGATTGCACTTTTTTTATTTGACTATAGCATCGCATTTCATTGGTCATATTGGCTGAAGTCTAATTCTAAGCAAAAAGTAGGCAAATCGAATAATAATATATATATATATATATATATATATATATATATATATATATATATATATATATATATATATATATATATATATATATATATATATATATATATAATTAAATATAAGATATTTAGGCCTATAAATGGAAATAAAGTATTCACAGGTCACCTTGGCTTTTTAGCTTTTTTTTCTGCACTTCTGACTGCTCCAATAACTCATTAGAGTTTCTAAAAGGCTGTGCATGTGTACAATGCCCTTTACTTGTTCTTACCTCATTCATTCTGCTCCTCCCCAAAGAGCTGCACACTTCCACACACCCTTAGAAAGCTGTTCTGCCCAAAGGCAACAGGTGATAAATTACAGAGCCCTCCATTCCCTCTGCCTGAGTTCCTCCTTTTCTTTGTTCTGCTTTGGCAGAACCCTCATCCTCCCCAGTCTTGTTAAAAGCTATAAGGATTAAAGACACAAGGAACAGTGGGCACAGCGCTGTGTGGGGCACGGATGTTTTCCTAAGGTGTATGAGAAAGGTTAGCTACAAAGGTGCAGCAGTAACACAAAGAAAAGTAGTTTTAGCTTCCGTCAGCAGCACTGTTTACTTTTGTGAGTGTCTCTTTGTGGCCTTCCCCTTGTACTTTGCAGCTGTCTTAAAACTCGTGTGAATAGTGGATAGCAGTTTCTGACTTGTGTAGTTAGAGCCGATAATGGGCTGCTTTTTCAGAGCCTTTCATCTTCCTTTGACATTATCCTCCTAACATCAACAAATGTGTTCATGGCAGGGGATCCCCCACAAAATCCCAGCCACATTTTCAGCTTCTATATCATGGTAACAACAAACAATGAATCATTTGCAGAGGATGGTTTGCAGCAGTCATTTGGAGACAGGTGAGCACTGTGGTTGGTACAGTATAAGTACAGAGGTGCTGGTCTCATGAGTCACCCTGTAAAACTCAGTGTATTAACACCCTGCTGTTTTATACAAACAAAGGAGAGATGAAGTCAGACCTATGACACAATTACAATTGTAAGGTTGCCTGCATGCAGGGGATACTGCCCTAAAAATACTTAACAGTATTCTTCAAAGCATAGACCAAGTTTGTCCAAATACAGGCACACTGCAGGCTATACTGTAAAAAGGAAGTTGTACATGAAAGTGGGGCTATGATCTTTGAAACACTAGCAATAAATGAGCAGACCAAACTTTTAAAGTATCACGCAGGCCATGAGATAAAAGGCTCCACATATCAGGTTCCTCACAAATTAAGACAACTTTTTTTCAAGTGTACTTCAGTGTAGTGAAACTGATTATTCATTCATTAGACTTGTTTTATTTAGATTTAGGTTTGTCAAAGACAAGAAAAATGTACAGAACTATTGCAAAATTGTAAACATAAATTATCATATTTTGATCAATGCTTCTTGATAGACCTAAATATACTGTTACTTTCACAAAGTGTTATACAGTTTTATTTTTATGAATTAGTTAAAATTCAATTCTATGCATGCCATGTATTATTATTTATTTGGTTTTTAGTTCAAATGTGATGTGATTCAAATGTTTCTAGTGTGCAAAGTGTGTTTGGAGAGTGTCACATTAGGTCGCAGTTCGAATGCACAGACACACAAACCTAAAGGGTTTCCCGTTGACCCCCAATCTCTATCCCATCTTTCTTCTATCGGATCGGAGCATGAATCTGATCTGATCAGAATGGCTCAGCACCTGTACTTTTTTTTACACCCCTCACTGTGTCAGGGAGAAGCTTGGGGGCAGGCAGTGTCTGGAGTTGGGCAAAAGGGTACTCAAATGTCCCCTGTGGCTAGAACAGTCATAATGATGTTGCTGTGGCCAAGCATAGTCATGTTATAGTCTATCCCTTTTCTATTAAGTTTGAAAATGTGATAAGATCTCTAAAGTGTTTAAAATGCCCAAAGAAAGCATCATGCCAGAGTACTCTTATTACATCAGATTGCATAAAACACAGTCCTTATTAATCACTCTTAACCAGATAACAATTATCAACAAGTTGTGATGTGTTCCTTTAATCTCCATCTCTCATCCAAGCTCTCCTCTCGTATCTTAGATTCATTTATCGTTTGCACAGCGATAATATTTTTGCTGGATGTGACTTGTTGAGGAATCTTTGCATGATGTCATTCCTCCTCTGCAGAATTCATATTTTCAGATCATCTTGCAACTCCCTGGGGCGAAGGGCTTGTCCTGTCTTAGACCCAAGCTGCAAATCACTGAGCTTCACCTTTCTTCATTTGAGGCTCAGATATGACCATTGATTGTTAGTTTGTCTTTCACCATGCACTTAAGTAGAAGACCCCTCCAGAAACTCAAGAGCAGCATGGGCACCTGGGAGTGCGCCACACTGCATGAATACAATGGCTGATGCTCACTGAAAAGAATAGGGCCTTTTCCTTCACATTGTATGGATATTTGTGTGTGAAGGGCAGGAAATCCCCCACAGCACTGATATGCTGTGAAAACATACAGTAATCTCCAAGTAATGTGAATATTATATATTATATATTGGTCTAAAGCAAATGGTCTAAATTTTGCTTGGAGGATTGACTGAAAGCATTGGTCTCTGTTGATATTATGATATATGTATTAATGCTTCTAAGTTAAAGAGTGTCACAATTCCTGTTGCCGTGCAGAGTCAGCTGTAACAATGACTCATTTCAGATCAAATGTAGGTCAGTGTGAAATGTGACAGTGACTGTGTGAACAGGGCCTCACAAGTCTTGTCCTTCACTTATGTGTCCACATGTTGCCTCTTGCCTTTGGCCCCATACTCACATGATACGAGGTGAAGAAGCCCCCAAGGAGGAAGGCGGCGCCATGATGGATGACATCAGTGACCACAAATCAAAAACATGTCTCCTCAGCACTTCCTCCACCTTCTGACACATACATAGTTAGAAACATTTTATTTTTTATTTGACATTACATTTTAATGTGCATTTTAATTTCAATGTTGTAAGTAATCAGTGTTTAAAAGTGTTTAAAGGAGATTAACATAGACACTATTTGACTTTTCTGCAGCCCCTATACACACACACGCCAAATAAAAAAAACCTTCACTTCAGAAAGCCCCACCTTAAGGGTCTAAGGACAGAATGTTAGTGTATCATTGATGAAGCTCCTCACACTGAATCATTTATGAGTGACAGCACAGAGGCCTGCACTGACCTGCATGGTGAGACACACCATGTAAAAGAGCTGCACCTGTGATCGGTCACTCGTCAAATGAGTTTACACTTAATCCATTCGTGTTAGTGTGTGTCATTTCATTCACAGGAGAGAGGAGCCAATACACAGGGCTGCTGTTATTGTCTGCAGCATCTGAATGTGTGCGATGACTAACTATAGACTCAGAGACTACTCCCTGAGACCCCTGTTAATAATCTATATTTTTTGCATCCCAATATAATATAATTTAAAAATATTTTCTTCTATATGGAACAATTAAATAAAAGATGAGAAAAATAACAGTACTTCAAATGTAGTGAGGAAGTATTTGCAGTTTTAGATTTTGGTTTTGCAGTCAGTTACTATCAACTGTCTTAATGGCGAGCAGCTCCAGCTCTATGCTATCTCTTTTGTCAAGTATACTCCTAACTAGGACACTGCTCCTCCAGCTCATCTGAGGTGCACCTAAACATCTCATTCTAAACAGTGAATGTTTATAAAGTGCTGTTTAACTTATAGCTGCTGTCAGCTGCTGTTCCATGCAGCCCTGCTCTCACTTGTGTCCTCTCACCCCAAATGACTGGAACTCAGCAAAGCCACACTAATTTGAACAGGAGTGTGCCAGGGACTGTTTGTCCAAGCCTCCCTTCTCAGGCCACCTTGTCATTGTCTCCTCCTAATTCTGCAAACATTGCAGACTTAGCCTGTCATTTAGACACAATTAAAGCACCCACACACCCCCGCCTGACCCTCCGTGGCTCTCAAGTCCTTATTTTCCCAACTAACCTCCTCATTTCCTTCAAGGGTCACGCCTGGATTGAGTGCCTCAAGGACTTGAGATCAATAAAGTTGAAACCCTTTCCTTTGGATGCACAGATTAGCCTGTACCTCGCCTCCAGGGACTGAGCTGTGTAAAAGAGGGCACAGTGAAGCAAAAAGGTCCTTTGTGGAAGTGACAGTAACATTAGAGTGAAGATGAGCCATCATTTAGAGAGGAAAGCAGTGATTTAGCTTAGCTCTTCTTTACTGCACTATCACACAGCAAAGGGCTCCAAATGATAGGGATGCTCTGAGGTAAACTTTAAACATATTCCTGTCAGAGCTAAATGGAGAAGAAGACAATATGAATGATAGAATAAAAGACACAAAATTTTGCCTTAGAATGGTTAAAACTACAATGCTACACCATGCACTCAAAATCTTGTTTTTTGTTTTCTAAGAGATCTTCTAAGGCTTCTAAGTGACCAA